AATATATATTTATATATTAAAAGACAGTTTAGAGATATATACATTAAAATGTTTTAAGTAATGTTGCAAATGATTGGATAAGTTGAACCAAACGTACGGGATAAAATAGAGTGTATACGCCTCTGTCTTTGTCGTATATTCCAGAATAAGTTGGTCCGAAAAGTGCATACACAGCTACAAAAGTTGCCAGAGTCGACGGTCCTCTGTAAGTACGATTATGTTTCAGAAATAATAAAATTAAAAAATTAAAAATCATTAATCCTACCCGATTAATGAAGTGGCGTAGCGCATTTGAACCCGTTTGACATTGAAAATTTCAATAAGGCGTAGCCGCTGAAAAAGTGTGAAGTAAAAGATAAGCTAATCCTGTTCGGGAAAGAACCGTAAATTGATTAAAAAAAAAAGTCGTCTTTAAAAGGAAAACGAAAACGTTAAATCGGTTTAAAGTACCTGAGACCAAGGATCGAACCTAAGATGAAACCCATGATCGGGAAAGCTAATAACGACGTCAAGTTTCAGAGGCTCCTGCAGAAAATAGACATAAAGAACTATTTTTACGACATTCGAAAGTTCCATATTTGTTCATACGAAAAAAGTCAGAACTTTCTATATTTCAAGAAATCGAAAAACCGATCAATCCTAGCATACGTATACGGACACATTCCGAACAAACACTTGTAAAGAAAGCGACAATTAATACAAAAAAAAACCCGACAGAAATATACTAATATACGACAATTGAAATATTACATCAAATCCGATAAAAGAAAAAAAAAACACGTATATCTGGCCAAAAAAACTTAGGCTTAGGCCTCGTTTGGTTGGCAAGATAAGATTAAATAATCTATATAATTGGACCTTCGATGAACCAATAAAGAACATGCCTAGAAGGCAATATAAGCCATGATAACATAATATTTGCGGGTCGACCAGGCAAGTTACTGGGGATACCAAACATCAAACAAAGTCGTATTATTTAGTTAATCATGGTTAATCTCCCCAACCAACCAAAAGAGGCCTTAGACAAACAGAAAAATGTTTCGGCAACAATAATTACATGCATGGAGAGTGTCGTAAACCCTAAAAAGAAAACCGAATTAACCGAAACCGACAAAGACGAACCTCATCATAGTACTTGACATGAACGACATCGTAGATGTTCGGCAGCTGCTCTATTCGAGCAAACGCTTCGCATATCGGCATACCTAAAACATCAACCAAAGGCAATGTGTTATCTATGAATGCAAATTCTCATATGAAATTTGCAAAGCCAATTAACAACATTAAAATCAATTACTCGATAATCATTAAATTCACAAGTGATCGGCATATATTACAAGAATCTACTAAAAAAAAAAAAACATGTGACAATAATTTCAGGTGAAATTGAACAAAATCAAAATCAGTAAAATATAAAGGGGTGAATTTGCAATTTACCGAGAGTGAAAGGACCTAATCAAAATCAGTAAAATATAAAGGGGTGAATTTGCAATTTACCTGGATATCACTTTGCCCCCTTGTACTCTCAATTGCATCGATTTGCCCCCTTGTACTTTGGTTCCATATCACTTTACCCCTTCTACTCTCAATTCATCGATTTTCCCCCTTATACTTTGAATCGATATCACTTTACCCCCTTATACTCTCAATTGCATCCATTTGCCCCATTGTACTTGAAAAATTGTCTTAATCTTGCCATCGCCGTTAGTTTTCAGACCTTTGCCATGAACACCGTTTGATCTAAGTTTGAAAATTACAAAAAAAACCACCCATCCCGATTTAAATAATTATTAATAAAAAAAAATTGTGGTTGGCGTCGTGAACTATATTTTCTCGTTGTTTTGAATTTTTTATTATTATTATTTTTTTTTTTTTTTTTATTTTTTTTAAACTAGAGGGGTGACATTTTAGTAATTTTCAGACTTAAATCAAACGGTATAAAGATTAAAGGTCTGAAAACTAACGTCGATGGCCATATTGAGACAATTTTTCAAATATAGTGGGCAAATCGATGTAATTGAGAGTAGAAGGGGGTGAAGTCATACCCAGCCAAAGTACATGGGGTAAAATCGATAAATTGAGAGTAGAAGGGGATAAAGATCAAACCAAAGTACAAGAAGCAAATCGATACAATTGACTGATTGAGAGTACAAGAGGGTAAAGTGATATCCAACCGAAGTAGAGGGGGAACGTGGAATTTACCCTATATGTTTTTATATATATGAGCTCTTTTTTAGGTGTTATATTGTATAAATTATAAATAAATATGTTTATTTTTTTTTAATATTTGTTTTATTTTTTGTTTTTCTTATTATAATATACTATAGATAAAAAAAACGCCTTTAATGAATATCTATAACACGATGGATTGCATCGTTGAAAAAACTATTGGCGAAATTACGGCTACCCCTGAATTATGGTTAAATTACGAAAATCTCCTCCTGTTTGGGTAATTACAGTCACCCTTCAACTATGTATTATCTTACGAAAAATTCCCTTCAGATGTAAATTTATGGATGTTAAATCGTAAAACTGAACCAAAATTTCGGTACGTCAACATTTCATACTGTTTATCGAACTAACTATACGATTTGATTTGGTGAATAATCGAGTTACGTATATTTTATGTTAAAAGTATTTAAAAGGAGAGGGGTGGCTGTAATACCCAAACAAAACGGTTTTTTTCGTAATTAGGCACACCTCATGGAGTGGCCGTAATTTGTCCAAAAACTATTTAGTCCACTTAATTTAATAAAAACACGAAACACAAAGTTTAATAACGTTTATTTCTATGCTACACCCGGTGAAGGTTATACCGAGTGATTTTTTACCGTTGATCTACACATATCAATGTGGGTATGTGTGTGTTTGTGTGTATATGAATGGTAAAGATCTACCCGGTATATTTCACCTGATGTAGCATAGTATAATATCCCAATATAAATCACGATAAATAACATTTACATGTTAGGGCCCATGGGATAGCATAAATTCCACATCTAAATTGGGGCAAACCCAATTGATGGGCCAAGTCTAATTGATTTTGCTCTTGGATTTTCCCAAAAGTCTCAAACTAATAAAATTTCATATATTAAACTGATGTGAGACTATGTTTGCACTTCAACAATCCTTTCATCGAACAAAAGATTAAATAAGTCGGACTACAAAGGACCCCCGAACCTCCTCTCAATTTATGCCATTGGGCTCACACCATCTTTGTTCGACGCATCGAGCCTTCGAACAAAGGAACACCAGCCTCCCATTTGAAGCTCTTTGAGCCGCTTTCCATTTGCGCACCAGGAACTCACCATATTCATTAAGTATTGAGGATTTCGACAATTTCCACCACATGATTATGTTTGGGCTATGGCTCCGATACCACTGTTGGGCCCCACATGATAACACAAACTCCATATTAGTATGATACTGTCCAAATTGAGCTAAATCCAATTGGTTTACTTTTCAGTTTCACCAAAAGACTTGATACAAATATAGTTATTATCTCCTTATAAAAAAAATGATCTTTCCCACATTAAACCGACGTGAGACTATCCTTGCACCTCAACATTACCCCGTAGTTTGAATTTTGTATACATGACCCTCCGTTACTTTTAATATAACACATGACCCCCCTGTATTTTAATATAATCACATAATTCCCTCGTACTTACAAATATTTCTTTTCCTAACAAGCATAATTATTTATCAAGTGGAATACCATACGGGTGTTATGTGCTTATATTAAAAGTACAAGAAAATTACGTGCACAAAGTTCAAACTACATAAGCGTTATATTGAAAACATAAAGGTCATATGCACAAAACTCAAACCACGGGTAAGTGCTATTTTACCCTAAATATTATTTCAAATATATCATTATTATTATTAAAATAATATTTGAAAAAAAGCTTATTTATCATCATTTTTTCTTTGTCAAAAAAAGGGGCCGAACCGAATCACGTGTTCCCCAATTCCTTCAAGCCGCGCTTTCAGTGTTTGACTCCCGCTCATCTTCCACATGTAATTACATCAAACACTTGGTGTGCGTGGTGGGGTGGGCTATGGTGGGGTGGGGCTACACGCATTTTTTCCACTTCTTTGCCGAAAGATTAACACAGTTTTTTTAAAACTTCTGTTTTACCATTACAGCTAATTTAATTGCAAAAAAAGAAAAAAAAAAGTATTAACTTCACCCCCCATAACCAACCCTTTCATCATTTTCAGCCAATCCGACGAGCTCCGCCGTCCAATATTCTTCAATCTAACTTTTTTTTTTATTTAATTTGAATTATGTGTTCGGGATTTTCTGAAAGATCAATTGCGATCAATGACCGTGAATTCCGGGTTGTATGGGATCTATGCTGCTGGGGGAATTGAGGATTTTTAGGGCTTTATTTTATTTATTTATTTTTAATTTATGGAGAATATAGAGACGCTGTTAGCTGCAGTAGCTCAGACGCAAGGTTTTGACGATGATGAGCCCGTTGCTTCTACTGCACCGGAGCTAGGGTTACCAAATTCTGATTGTTCGCCGGAGACTCGAGGAGATACAGGGGGTTTACAGCTAACAGTAGATGCTGCTGGGTATGGACGACCTTCTGCCGTGGTGGATACGCCTCCTCCAGCCCCAACTCCGGCATATGTGGCCATAGATAAGCGGAAGAGAGGGCGACCCCCCAGGGGACAGCTAGTGACGAAACCACCGCCGCCGAAGCGGGTAAAACCGGTGGATGAGGAGGAGGATGTTTGCTTTATTTGCTTCGATGGAGGTTCTCTGGTACTTTGTGATCGCAAGTGAGTTTAGTTAATTCTCATGCTTGATCAAGATTTTATTAGTTAAGAGTTCTTAATATTATTATTTTTTTTTATAGAAAATTCACTTCACTACGATCTATGAGATTAACATAGTAATTAAGGATGTGTAAATGAGAGTCGTGACCAATTTGAGAAGGATTATACGAGTTTCTTTGGTAGTGTATTGAATTTCACATGTTAAATGCTTAGGGGGTGTCCAAAGGCGTATCATCCAGCATGTATTAAGCGCGACGAAGCCTTTTTTCAATCAGCAGCGAAGTGGAATTGCGGTATGTTGCCCTTTTTCATTTGTAAGAACTTATGGAATCTAGTATTTTTTCAGTTGCTGGTATTGTATCATTATTATATTTCAGTTTGTTTTCTTGCATCATGGTGTGCAAATTTAAGTGTTTCGGCGAGTAGTGTTGATTGTAGAACTATGTACGGAAATATATCTTGTTACCACATTTTAGATGTTCATTAATGATTAATACATGCATAAAGCTGTCAAGTTTGTCAAATGTCTTCATAATGTGTATGCATTAGTTGCAGTAAATACCACTTTTACAACCCTACCCCACAATTTTGTTATTTTTTTTTCCTAATATGAGCTCGTTCTCTTGTTGATTCTTCTTCTATTTTTTCTTTTTTTGTTTAATGCATGCCAGTTTTTTTCATTTAATAAATCTGACACTTGTCGATAAGTGATGTTTAGCTGTTACCTGATGCACAGTCTGTGTGCTGCCTATTAATGTTGCTTATGGTGCTAGCTATTGCTTTCAGGATGGCACATATGTAGTGTATGTCGGAAATCTTCTCATTATTTGTGCTACACTTGCACCTATTCATTGTGCAAGAGATGTACTAAAGATGCAGATTACTTGTGTGTTAGAGAAAACAAAGGATTTTGCTCGACTTGTATGAAAACTATCATGATGATCGAAAACAAAGAACAAGCAATGTCGGTACGAATATTCCTACTCACCATGTCATTAATTGAACAATTTCTTCCGAAATCTCTCTGCCTGTTATTACCGAATTTGTTTTGGAAGTGCTTCAGTTCGAGTAAAACTTTTTGGTTATATTCCATGTAAATTTGTCTGCATCTTTATATTGTAAAGAGAAGCAGCTGCTTTTTGTTTATCTGCTTATGCATTCTGAATATCCATGTCTAGTAAATCAGGAAATATTGTATTAACAATGATAAGAAAAAAATTGTTCTCCTTTTTGTTTTGTTTTGCTCTCTCTCATTCTCTCAATAATTTCAGATATTGAATTACTTTCCTATTTAGGATCAAATATCAATTCAAAAACTTCGAGGTTGTTAATTTTAAACTATAGTGTATTTTTGGATTTGATTTTTAAATTTGGAGAGAGATCATGTATAACTGTCTTTTTCGATTACTGAATCATATAGATTTTCATTATGTGCATTCATTGTAGATACATAAGTAACTCTCTTTTATGACAGTTTCTGTGGGAAGACGGAAAATGCTTTTCTGTTTTTATGTGGTTCTAGTTGAGTTTGTGGCTTAAATATGTATGGGAGTCTCCAAGTAATCAGTATTTTGTTTGAACTCATTTGTTCTGTACCTCCACACTTTCGTAGTCTTCCTATCATCCAATTTCATAAAAACCAATCCAAAATGGGAGAAGCTTCTTAGGAAGTATTCCGCGTCAGTAGGAGAGCCATATTTCAGTGCCGTACGGTTAATTTGCATCTTTCGATTATTAGGATAAATATTGACTTCTACACAAGGATGGTATCAGAGAAGTAGAAAGCAGACACATATCTGGATGTTTCTAGGACCATATTGCTCACACGTATTGCTTGGCAAGATGAATAAATGTAACTCTCTGGGCTCGAACTTGGGAAGTCTTTGTTACCATTTCTAGATCATAGTAGTTATTCAGTATGTAGTTTGGATATGATCCATACTTAGATGGAAATTGTACTCTTGCTATAAATATCGCTTGGGCATGTATGGAATTCATAATATATGCTGACTGTTTTGATCGGATTAACTTATGCAGGTTAAAGTGGATTTTGATGACAAAACTAGCTGGGAGTATCTCTTCAAGATGTATTGGGTGTACGTAAAACAGAAGTTATCATTGACACTGAGTGAGCTCACTCAAGCTCAAAAACCCTGGAAAGGTGTGGCTTCAGTAGCTTACAAGCCGCAGTTAAGTGATGTAGAGATTCGTTTGCTACAAAATGATGTGAAAAGGACAACGCGATCAAGCATTGGTAATCATGTGGTGAAACAAAATAGTGTTAAGGAGGAAGTTGGTTCATGTCACCACAAAGACAATGTAAAACCATGCGTGGATGAAGTCACTGACAAAGCCACTGAAGAACCACTCATTAAGGTAGCCACTGAGGAGCCACATATTAAGGCAGCCATCGAGGAGCCACACATTAAGACAGTTACTGAGGAGCTACTCATTGAAAAGGATCGAAATGATTTAAGCCTTGCTAAAGATACCTTGAAGCCTTGCATCCGCGACAACAAAATTGACAGAGAGTCGAAGAGAGAAATTGAATGGGCAACTAAAGAGCTCTTGGAATTTGTTGCACATATGCAAAATGGTGATACATCAGCTATATCACAGTTTGATGTCCAAAAACTATTACTTGACTACATAAAGAGAAACAACCTTCGGGATCCTCGCCGAAAGAGTGAAATTATATGTGATTTAAGGCTCACGAATCTATTTGGAAAGCCACGTGTTGGTCACATTGAAATGTTGAAGCTTCTCGAATTTCACTTTCTCATAAAGAAGGATTCTCACAATAGTTCTTTTATCCCAGCGGGATCTGTTAGTTCTATAGCAAGTGACGTGGAGGCTGATGGAAACATTTATGGATCCCCAATGCAAATTAATAGTAGAAAGCGGAAAACCCGTAAAAAGATTGAAGAGAGAATTCTGCAAAACAATTTAAACGATTATGCTGCAATTGACGTCCATAACATTAATTTGGTCTATCTGCGGCGTAATCTAATGGAGCATCTTATGGATGATCGTGAGAACTTCAATACTAAGGTTAATGGGGCTATTGTGCGCATTAAAATATCAAGTAATGATCAGAAGCAAGATGTTCATAGGCTTGTCCAAGTTGTAGGTATAATGCATATATTATTAATTTCACGCTTTAGCTTCTTCCTTTCGTTACGTGTACCTTAAAATTCTTATGCCCACAAAGAATGTTTCTTGAATCCGTATTTCTGTCTTCAAAATCAGGGACTAGTAAGGTGGCTGAGCCCTATAAAATTGGTGACAGGACAACAGACGTCATTCTTGAAGTTCTAAATTTGGATAAGAAAGAAGTTGTATCAATTGATGCCATTTCAAATCAAGAGTTCACTGAGGTAACTAGAGATAAATAATTTCACCAGCTTCTCGATTTTTTTTCTGATGCTTTTGTTTGACTTAAGCCGTTTTCAGAAGTTACTTTCCCTTTATACTGCAAAGATCTGATATTGTTCTAGCTGCTCTGGTCTTTTACTAACCTATAAAATAATTCAGTCCCTTTGTGAATTTGTAATGCATTTGCAATGTTAATTCTTCCTTGATGGTGCAACCACATAATATGTTTACTTTGTTATTATCATGATCAATGTTGAACATCTTACTTATTCATACTAGTATTGAACTTAAGATTGAGACGTGTTGAATTACATCTTCATCTAAAAGCTTAAGTTTTTAGTGATGCGAATCATTTAATATTTAGTAACTCTAGATGCCACTCACGTGCAAACATACTATTTAATGAAGCCTTGCACGTGAAACTTTTTAAATGGGTGGCAATGAGATTCGAGCTCAAGACCTCTTATTTGTCCTAGCTCTAATTTCACTATGATATCATGTTGAATGACCACTTCATCTGCTTTTTAGTGATATTAACTCTACAAGATGAATATCTTATTTAAGGAAAAATGTAAAGTGATGCACCGGCAAGCTCGTTTATTAAAACTTCAAACTCAACTAAATGTTGTTTGTTTCTGCAAGTTGTATGTGAAGTCAAGTATGAATATGTGCACCAGGCACTTTTAGCTCAACGTGATTGCACAACTGTTTCCATGAATATTCCATATGGTTGTGTAATAGTCTATTTTGATCCAGGATGAATGCAGAAGGCTACGTCAAAGCATTAGATGTGGGCTTGTGAAACAGTTCACTGTTGTAAGTCATCTTTCTGCCATTTATTTCAGAATTTGATCTGAAGCTACAATATCTTTGTATCACTTTTTTGTTTTTCTTTGTAGGGTGAGGTACAACAAAAAGCTATGGCACTCCAAAGAGTTAGGGTCAATGATGTGAGTCTGTTGGTTACTGAATTAGTTAAAAAAATCAGTTCATTTGCTTCTTAGATGTAATTTTTGTGGTGCTGATATTCTGTTATTCTAAACATAGTGGCTGGAGGCAGAGATATTGCGGCTAAGTTCTCTTCGAGATCGAGCTAGCGAGAAGGGGCGTAAGAAAGAATATCCTTTGTTTGTAATTATCTCTCAAGTTTTTCAGTAAACATATGGCTTTATGCTGAATGAGCCGATAAACTTAATTGTTTGTTCATAAACATTAAAGATATATACGTATATATATTGATATTTCATACTCGGGATTGTTTTGACCTTCTGATTGGTTGAAACAAACTATTTTCCTCCACAACCCACATTATTATGAAACAGATTTTACACGTGTTTCTTAGAGTTCCTTGACCTTTTTTTCACGCTTAGAGAATATGTAGACAAATTGCAGCTGCTAAATTCACCGGAGGAGCGGCAGCGCAGAATCTCGGAAGTTCCAGAGATACACTCTGATCCAAAAATGAATCCAAATTATGAATCAGAAGAAGATACCAGGATTTGTGATAGCATTAACAAAGGTACCTCTATCATTGGGCTTCACAGTCTCGAAAATGTTTGTCTTCTGTTATTTCATTTCCTATAGTTTCATAAGTTAGTGTTTTCATGTCGTGAGGTACTTAATCGTGCAGATGAATATGCGAGGCCAAGCTACCCAGGGTTATCTAAAAGTGGAAGGAAGCACATTTCTCCTAATAAAAAAGGTGAATTATAAGATATAACTAATAATAGTAAATAGGTCAGTGAAAGTTGTTTTTTTTCCTCAATTTAATCAGAGGAGTTTGTATTGGGTTTTGCTCAGGTAAAGAAAAGCAACCTATCCCGAAGCCGAATAGTTCGATTACCAACTCAGCTAGTGAGGGTAAGAATGGTGAGGCCATGCAAAAGTCTGGACTAGAGACTTGTGTTGCAACTTGTTCCTCTGTCGGAAACTCACCACCTGCTAACCATATAGAAACGGAGAAACTGTGGCATTATCGTGACCCTAATGGCAAGATTCAAGGACCGTTTTCCATGATGCAGCTTCGTAAATGGAATGCAAGTGGTCTATTTCCTCCTGATATGAGGATATGGACAAATCACGAGCAATACGACTCGTTACTTCTTAGTGACGCTCTGAATGGCAAACTCCATGGACCATTGGAGTCGTCGTCATGTAAACCTTGTTTGGGGCCTCACAGAAACGGGGTTGTTGAGGTAAGTGAGGACATACATGTGACTGTGAGAGATAGTAAACCAACAGAGAGCATTAGTGGAGTTGTAACGACAGATGAATCTAGCTCGTCCCACTGGCCACGATGTTGGGATTTACTCAAGGATAGTAATTCTAGTGGTGATGGTGTCCAAGAGAGTGGTGAGTTCAACCATGGTTCACAAAATGGAGAGAAAAAATCAACTGAAGTGGCTCAAAACCCGAGGAGTAGTGTGTTTGAAACAAATAATAATAATGATGACCGAGCAGTATCTTCTGAAGAAAACTCGAGATCTTTAAAAGTTGATTTGAGCTCGGTTCATATGGAATCGGTTTCTGTTTTTGCACTTGATTCAAGTAGACAGAGGAAGGATGTAGATGTCTTGGATCTTCTTCCTAGTCCGACCCCAAAGACAGCAGCCGAAAATCCCGTCTTGCAAAACTGTGGTATTTTGGAGCTGCTTAGTCTTGCACCAAGATCTAATGATGAAGATGAAACTAAGCAATCTGGATGTATAAAATCTCCCACGAACGGTGGTTCCAATATCGGAGTGGCCGATGAATGGTGTGGCTATTCTCCTACACCTGGTAAAACAGATCTTCAAGAATGGGATTCTGGTCTCGTCTCTGTATCTTCAACGAGGCCTCCTGAAGTTACAAGTGAGAACATTGATTCCCCGATTATTGATGTTTCTCAATCCTTTCCTGCGTCAAATCTACCTAGTTGGCTGCAAATCTTTAACGAGCCAATTGAGTTCGACGCGTTGGGTGAGGAATCGGTGTCGGATTTGTTGGCTGAAGTCGATGCAATGGAATTGCAAGGGACATTGCATTCACCTACGTCAGCCATGAAGTTCGCTAGGGAGTTGATTGAAGATTGTAAAGACGACTGCTTTAGTTCGATTGAGCAGTTCAGCTCCACACCTGATCACAATCCTCGAAAAAGCGATGCATTGAGCTCCACCGGGGAGGTACAGTTGAATTCCCAGTCTTCACCGACGCCGATGGAGACATCTTTTAAGAGGTCGAGTGAACATTCATCTGCAAGTAACGAGGGAGAAACTAGTAACAATGCTGGTCAAAGCAATGCGAATCAAGAAACGAGATCAGATAACATGGACCCCAGTTGGGGAACGGTGCAGGGTAATATTAACCTGGTGACGGTGCAGGGTAATGTGAATCTTGTCTTGGGCGGCGGACCTTCTCCGGGAATGGGTAACCTCGGTTGGGGAACTAACCCTGGTTCACCATGGGTGAACCACCCAAACATGAACCTAAGTCCGATAAATGTCGGCCAATCGTGGGATGGTGGTCACCGCAAATACGGTGGTGAAAGGTTTAACAGCCCTAGAGAGTGGGGTTGTTATCAAGGCGGTGACTCGGGGTTCGGGAGGGGGCGCCCTCCGTGGGGTAGGCAACCCTACGGCGGTGGCGGATACTCGAGGCCTCCCCCCAAAGGGCAGAGGGTATGTATATACTACGAGAGTGGTCATTGCAAAAAGGGTGCCTTTTGTGACTATCTACACCCTTGAATTTTTTATTTATGTATTTTTGAATAATTAATTATTTAATGTAGGTATATGCTTCGATTAAACACAATTTGTTGTACGCACGGTTAAACCTTTATAAATTAATACAGTTGAGATCAAACTGACTTTGATTAATTTAGCAAAACTTCGAGTCGGGGTCAGATAAAAAAATATTATTTAAGCGAAATTATTAATTTATCGAGTATTAATTTAGTGAAGTTTTAATCGAGATTTTATAATTTATTAATTATTAAAAATATGCATGAGTCAACACATGAATATATCATACGACGCCGTTTCAATCTGCCTTGTTGTCTCCCTCCTTTTCTTCAACCGTCGAGCAAAAAAGAAACACAGCGAAGACTGATAATCGTCTGTCGGCAAATTCTTCATCGGAAAGGGGTTTCAGTGCCGATGCTGACACCGACGCAGAGGTACGCGGCGGGGGCACTGTTTTCCCTTGCCCTACACCAGGCTCAGGAGCACCAGACTTCCCCTTTGGGTTTTCCCTCCCACCAAGACGAAGACGGCGGCGGCGAGTCGTCGGAGGAACGCGTCAGTAGCAGCAGTAGCTCCGACGCCGTCTCCGATGATACCCAGCTCTGGGTCCACCAATCGTCGGGTCTTCTACGGCCCGTCTTCAAGTACCAACTGTTCCTAAATGTTTTTGTGTGCCCTTGTCCAAATATGTGAAATTGATTTTTATTGTTTTTCCCCCTATGAAATTGTAGGTTTCTAGAAATTGATAGTAGAGCGTGGGGTGGGCTGGAGGAAACGGCGGCGTATTCACCCTCTAAGCATCATGTTGGAGCTGTTAGTACTTTTCTTTCTTACTTTTGATTTCTATTTTGTTCTCCAGCTAATTTAGTTTATGGGTTTAGGGTTTCACAAAAGTATTGGGGAAATTAGTTCAGCAATTGTTCTAGAGAAGTCGATATTAGTGTAAAAGGGAATCGCAATTGAGTGATTTACCATTAATTGTAATGAATGATTATTTGTTCGTATTCAGAGTCGAGCATGTTAGCATTTGAGAGAGAGAACAATCAAAGTGTGCATCCTAAAATATTGTAATTTTAATTTCAGTGAAGGAGGAACACTGTAATCAGAAATATCATAACTAGCATTTTTTTGTTGGTGATACATTCGTAATTTTGCTCGTAGCAGTTCTTTTTTCAGTTCGTAGTTGCTAAGGTTGCTATGAGAATTAGTAAGATATTTTATTAAGTCCTGAGGAGCTACTTCAATGTGAATAAAATCTGATTTCTAATTATGAAACCGTTGCTCTGTCATCAGTTTTTAAGGTTACTTGCCGAAGAAACCAGTGACGTGTCTGAAGGAGCTGCTGAGATGGAACTGGCTTTAATGAATAGTATAGAGGCTATGTCTTTGAGCATGGAAAATACTCCTGCTGATTACGAGTCCAAAAAGGAAAAACAACGTGAGTATGAGCAAGCTTGTCGGGAGAAGTTTTCGACCCCTGATAAAATGCCCGAGTCAGAATTGAAACATAACAGTATGCATAATAATAATCGTCAGGAAATAAATGTTATTACATCTATTGTTGAGGAATCCCACGCACAGTCCATCTCTGAATCTGACGGAAAACCATTGGATGAGGTAAAAATGCTTAGTTACCAAAGGAAATTGGCAGTTTTATACGAGCTTCTCTCAGCTTGTTTAGCTAATATGAGTGAAGATGACAAGAAATCCACCAGGCAAAGAAAAGGGTACGATGCTAGATATCGTGTGGCATTGAGGCTGCTTTCTACCTGGTTTGATGTCAAGTGGATAAAAATGGTATTCTCTTACACTTTCTTATGTTTACAGTTCGTCTTTGAGATATTTTGTATAAGTGGGAGCTTTCTTGGACATTGTTATGTGTTTTAACTGTTATATGTATAGAATTCAAATGCTTTACACTATCCATGAGCTATAGAAGAATCAGCCGAAGAAATGCCAAGTAAAAGTAATAGTGCATGTGTGCAATTAATGGCTCAAATAAAGAAATATATCCCGACGTTGACAACGTTTTTGATTTTCTAATATTCTTTAAAACTTTGTGCTGATACGACTTTATCCCTTTTTCATAACTGCAATTATTTCCTTGTAAAAATGAAATGATTCTTTGTGCAGGAATCCATTGAAACCATAGTTGCTTCATCTGCAATGGCTATTCTAAAAGAGGAGGAATCCAAAGAAGTAGCCCAATCTAAAAAAAGCTCATGGGCCAAGTGGAAACGTGGAGGCATCATAGGTGCTGCTGCATTAACTGGAGGAACTTTAATGGCAGTTACTGGAGGTATATTCCATCCTTTATACCATTTTTAATTATCTTGCATTTCGTGATATTTCATAAAACCAGGAAAGCTTCCCACTTGTGTAAATTCGGGCTTCGTTTTTTATTTTTTCATATATATTTGAACAGGTTTAGCTGCTCCAGCAATTGCTGCTGGATTTAGTGCTTTAGCGCCGACATTAGGGACTATTATACCTGTTATTGGAGCAGGTGGCTTTGCTGCTGTTGCTACTGCTGCTGGGAGTGTTGCGGGTTCTGTTGCAGTTGCAGCTTCTTTTGGTGGTGGGTTCAATATATATTCATTTTATGATATTTAATATTTAATTCGCGAATCCGTTGCAAAAATAAATTTTTTGTTATTGGTTATTATTTTTTTATACATGCTGACCTTTTTGTTAAACCAGCTGCGGGAGCTGGACTTACGGGGAGTAAAATGGCTAGGCGAATTGGAGACGTTGACGAATTCGAGTTTAAAGCTATAGGCGAAAACCATAACCAGGGAGTGAGTTATTTTTTTTAGATTTCCATAAATTGAAAGTTAAGAAAAGAAAGAAATGCTCTTCGGAGAAGTATTTAACAAAATGAATGCTCTTTTCTTGATTTTCTGATCAGCGATTAGGGGTTGAGATTTCAGTATCAGGATTTGTTTTTGAGGAAGAAGACTTTATAAGACCTTGGGAAGGACAACAGAATAACTCGGAAAGGTGGACCCCATCTTCTCCCAATATTTGCAATTGTTTTTAAAGATCCCATCTTGTATTCCGGTTTCCGAAAATAACCAATTTATTCTGAAATTGCAATAATAACTTTTGTAGGTATGTACTGCAGTGGGAATCCAAGCATCTTATTGCTGTAAGCACTGCTATTCAAGACTGGCTTACTTCAAGTAATTTTATTTTTTAAAATTTAATATAAAGCATTAAATAGCTAAATTATATGGAGATTTGGTGAATCGAGTATGAACAATGATCTGTGACTTGTTTGGTAGGATTGGCCATGGAAATGATGAAACAAGGTGCAATGATGACTGTATTAAGCTCTCTTTTGATGGCACTCGCTTGGCCAGCTACATTACTTGTTCTTACTGATTTTATCGACAGCAAATGGACTATCGCCTTAAACAGGTTCTCCTTTTCACTTCACTGTCAGAGAAATAATTCTCTGCTATAAATATTTCTTGTTTAGAAAGTATTTAACAGGCCTTTGTAGGTCTGATAAGGCTGGAAAACTGCTCGCCGAAGTATTACAGAAGGGGCTGCAAGGGCAGAGGTATATTATGGAAGAAACTATAATCAAGTTCTATTCAATTTTGCTTTAAAATCTTTCGAATTAATTCATTGTCTTCGCGAAAATTCTCTAGGCCCGTGACACTTGTAGGTTTCTCACTTGGAGCAAGAGTGGTTTTTAGGTGCCTACAGATTTTGGCCGAAAGTGAAACTAATGGTAAGGATTACCATTAATTCAGGTTAAATTGCATTTAAAAGAAAATACGGGCTTGCTTAAAGTTCCCGGTTTTTTTTTTCTTTTTTTAAATTCTTCATCAGTTGGATTGGTGGAAAGAGTTGTTCTTCTTGGAGCTCCGATATCAATTAAAGACATGAATTGGGAAGCCACTCGAAAGGTAGCCCTACACATTACCTTTCTACCGATTAAATTTTTTTTTATTATAATAATTCAACTATATCTATTAGAGCCTAAATATAGTTCAGAAGTTAATCGTCGTGTATAAACTGCAGGTAGTGGCTGGGAGATATGTGAATGCGTATTCTACAAATGATTGGATGCTCGGAATTGCATTTCGTGCCAAGTATGCAACTCTTAAAATGACAATTCAAATTCTTTCACCTTTTTTTTTTAACTTGCTCGTATCGAGTTTTAATCTGGTGTTGCCTCGCATTATTATGTGTTCCAACAGTCTTCTCACTCAAGGATTGGCTGGAATTCAACCAGTTAATGTACCTGGCATCGAAAATGTACGTCATTTCTAACACTTCCGAAATTTATTTAATTTAATATTTTTTTTCTTCGAGATTTTGAATTTTTTCGTACTTCCCTGTCTTTGATTTAACAGGTGGATGTAACAGAAGTTATTGAGGGTCACTCGTCTTATTTATGGAAAACCCAACAAATACTCGAACAACTTGAACTCGATACTTATTATCCTGTTTTCAACCAAAGTGTTCTTAAATCATAGTACATGGTATACACTTTATTATCTCACTGAATTGTCTTCAAATTCAGATATATATATATATATATATATATATATATATATATATATATATATATATATATATATATATATATATATATATATATATATATATATATATATATATATATATATATATATATATATATATATATATATATGTTGTGCTCATTTAAGTTATATGTGGAGAAGTAGCGTTAGTCGGAACTGTTGTAAACGAGTATCGGTCGAAATGTATGATTATATAAGATTGTAAATGTATTATTATGTAAATGTATATCTATTCTTATTATAAGATTTTATGATTGTGGCTAATTATGAATTGACACATGCTAGACTATGAATTGTGGCAATAAGTGAGATGCTTGGTATTTTGCCCTCCCCCCTTTTGTATTTTCCAAGTTTTGTAATTAGAAAAAAAAAAAAAAAAAAAAAAAAACTTAGTGTCGATTAAGACGGTTTATACCGTGTTAAACCGACTAGATCTATACCATTTATTATTAAAAAAAAAAAAAACACATTCGGTGTAAATTATTCAATGTATTTCATCAGATGTAATATTTACAAGACCCAATCTTTTATGAACAAATTAGAGAAAATTAATAAGAAAATATTTGTATGAGTGTAGGGGTGTGAACGAGCCGAGCTCGTCTATTTTGACAGGCATGAGTTCGCATGAGGTTCGGTGAGGTAGAGCTTTAAATAATAAACTAATTATACTAATTTTATTGTATAATATATAAAAAAAATAAACAATTAAACAAGAAGCTCGCGAGTTCAAGCTTTTGTCGAGCCCCATTGGTTGAGTTTACAAGTCGGCACCCCTTGTTTACCACCCCTGTGTACAAGTGTCGTGTAACATCTACAAAACCATAAATATAAATGTTTAAAATCTTTTTTGTTGCACTTATATAATTAGGTGGACTATTGTTTTTATTAATATAAAATTTCACTAAAATCACAAATTACAAAATAATTTTATTACACTCTCACATCTAATTTAAATTGATTATCCTTTGTTCCTTGAGATAAAGGACAAAAAAAAAAAAAAAAAAAAAATGGAGGAAGACAGACAACGAGCTCCGGGCGAAGAAGGGAAGTTAATCCCACGCGCGGCAATGGCGGAATCTCCGAACGGAGAATCAATCGGCCCCGGAATCAGTTCGAAAGCCGATGACTCAAATCAACTGAAGCAAAACGATCGCTCTCATCAATCATCATCGTCATCGTCAACAAAGAACACGAATTCTACAGAAGCAGCCAACAAGGCAAAATCCTGCAAAGGATGCCTTTATTATTCGTCTCGTTTCAAGGCCGATTCTCGAAACCCTCTCTGCGTTGGCCTCACTCGCTCCCTTCCCAGTGGTACCGTTTGCCCTAATTTCCCCCCTACCTTTTCAATTGTTGATTATCGAGATTAATTTTTGTTTTTTGTTTTTTAATTTTGCCTAAATAATTGATTTTGAAGGTGCCCTAGATTGGACTTCCAACACTTAATTGAATACATTTTGTGCTTGCAAGCTGTTTCAGAAATGAAAATTAATTTTTTTTTGGTTGGATTGTGCATTAAGAAGATCATGCATCATGACAGAAATAAATTTTGATATCCATTGGGCTTCGTCTTCGTGTGCTTAACTTGCACGATGTCGATACGCATTAGAGTAATCTTGTAATTGTGTTTTTGTTGTTTGAATAAATAGTGCCTCGATACATTGTTGGAGAATCGGAGATGGAAGCATCTAAAGAGGGTAGGAGCCTAAGAGAATTTAGATACGCTTGTGTCGGTTATTCTCTATACACAGATCGAAAAAACCAGGCCTCGGATGGGCAACCGACTCAAACAGAATTGCCAGTCTGCATAGGTCTCGAGGTTAGTGTCGTTTAGGCTATGTTTCTTTATGTGGGCTTGGTTTAGTTTCGTTGCATCATCGTAAGATTGCGTTTGGTACATACAAATACAAGATTTCGATATAAGTAACGTTTTTCTTGTCACGTATTATGTGTAATGAAATTGCAAAAGAGTAGTGAATATTGACTGGTTATTATTATTCAACATTGGCTTAACAGGTTTTAGTGGACCGGAGAGCAAATGCTGCTGATTCAGCATCTGTTCCTACTCATATTCACAATAAAGAAGGTAACTATCCTCTTCTACTTTTGCTGTTAATGAAACGTCTTTTTGCAAACTACATCAAGGGCTTAATGACTTAACTATGAGCATCGGCCTCGTCTTTTTTTTTTTGAATGTGAGCATGACTAATCCATGTGTTATTGGTTGAAGGAGCTCGTGTTTTAGTCATTATATTTTGACTATTAAAATGGAGATTGTCAATTAGAAATCGGACGAAGTAGGGCATATGTTATTGGTGGTTAATTATTTAAACAATAAAAAGGAACTTCATCTTGTCAGTCTGGCAAGATCATTTTTATTCTTCAATTATTACAAGGATTTGTCTTCCGTTATTAATATGCTTAACGGATTTTTGATTATTAAATATATTTTTTTCCCAGAAAAGCTCAAGTTTTGAATCTTCATTAAGTTGTATGATGCTATATGTACATGATTTGAAACAAGTCTGAACGAATTAGTAATATCCAGCTTCTCTTTTATTGCCAGTCCTTCAACTTGCAAATTCTCGTAAAATCATTCTGCATATTTTGGTGTATTTTAGTAGTAAGCTTCATCTTGAACTGAATGCATATTCAAAAAAATTATCGAACTTATCTCTCTCGTAAACCAATCTCTCTTTTTTTTTCGTTAAAAAAAATATCAAACTTAGATTATGTTGTTGCTTCTTACAGATGGCAATGCATTGCCTCAACGTCGTCCACCTAAACCAACTAATGCAAACGGGGAAGAGTTTATGTCCAGGCAAGCTAACATATACAATTTAGCGGGAATTTTTTATTCCATTATTATAAGAACTGTCTTAAGTGTTGGATGGGAAGTTCCATTACACAATCTTTAGTCGAAGACTCATTTGAAGCAATCAGGAAAAATCTTAAAAAAAAATTCAATAGAAATTGAGTAGTTGGACTTTATCTTCGATTTTTTTTTACCAGAATTATCTTTTTCCTGGTTCTGATAATGCAGGTTTACTCGGAATGCAAACCTGGTGGCGAATGGGGTAGCGAAGAACATCCGTAGAGTAGGGAATCAAATAAAGCAAAGTCTTGACGATGTAATGTATCCTTACAGAAAACGGCCAAAGTAAAAGAGGGGCGATCTTGGAATAAAAATAAAATGTGGTGGAGCCTTTGAGAAATTATGTATATCTACCGTGTCTCCATTTACACACCCCTGTTTCCTATTTTGCCCTTGTTAAGAAATGATTGAACTCATAATGTGGGCAATGGAGGCAATATTTTTTTTGTGCTCTTTTCGACTTTGTGCTAATATAACTATTTATTTAGCTGTTTTAATTGGTCTGTCTGATGTTTTTGAGGAAGCCAAGGATTCTGTTATAACCTCCATTTTGTTAGTACACAGTAAAAATATCTGTGAAAGTTATATTTATCGCGTCCCTTGAATTTTCGAAAATTCTGATTTATCTGATTTTTGTTGGAATTGAAATTAAAATATAATTTCATTTGCCAAAAAAAATTGAATTTTCCTGGTATACCCTCAAATCCTTCTCTGCTCATTGAGTATTATGTGTATAAATATAATAATAATAGCTAACATAACAAAAAGCCCGTCTAGCTCAGTTGGTAGAGCGCAAGGCTCTTAACCTTGTGGTCGAGGGTTCGAGCCCCTCGGTGGGCGTCGTCTTCAATTTTTTATTTTATTTTTATAATTATAATTATAATTATAATTATAAACCAACAATTAGTTAATTAAACAAAACGGTAAATCTATCATTAATTCTTCTTGCACTTGAATATTTTCTTGGAACCAACAATCACGATAACCAGTCTTTGAAAATCAAATCCACGCCATTTTCCGATTCCTTTATTTCTTCTTCTTCTCTCTCTCTCTCCTCAATTTCAATTTCTCTCTCTAGAATTTAGTATAAATTATTACACAAGCAAACCATCCAGCAAATCAAAGGTGGCAACCCCCAATTATCAATCCTCACCTTTTCCTAGGAAGTCGCCTTTCCTCTTCATTCTCAATCAATCAATCTTTTAATCCTTCATTTCCGTTTGCTTCTGCTCAAATCCATCCATTTCCGGTGAAAAAAATCCAATCTTTTTTTTTTTTTTTGGTTTTGGAGAGGGTTTGTTTGTTCGCGGAATCGGATTGCGATTACCGTATGGCCCCGTACGCGGCGGCGTGCCGGCGGGCGGTCAAATTAGGAACCGGGTCGTTCGGTACCCACATAACCGGCCCGAACCGGTTCAACTCCAGGCCCATTTCCGACCTCGCCAAGCCCAACGGCAAACGCCTCTTCCTCGTCGACACTCTTGCCCTTGTAATTCATTCATTCAACCACCATTTCTTATTTATTTATCCCCAATTTGCTGGATTCATTATCTAATCAATTAATTAATCTATCCTGGTTGATTGATTAGGTTAGGAGATTAGAGGCACAAGGAATTCCGTCGAAGCAAGCGGAGGCGATAACGTCGGCTTTGACGGAAGTACTTAACGACAGTATGGAAAATGTTTCTTACTCCTTCGTCTCCAAAGGTGAAATGCAGAAAGTAAGCCTTTTTTTTTTTTTTTCTGTTGATTATGATTTTATCTGCTGTGTCTGAAGATGATCATTTCTTTTGTGTGTGTATCTATTTTGTTATACAATTTTGTTTTTGTCTCTTGTTTCAGAATGAGATGACTCATGAATCCACTTTATCCAAATTCAAAACTGAAATCAAAAGCTCCCAGGTATATTCTTCAATTCATGTTCTTCAAAATCGTGTCTTTTTCGTAGTAAATTTGTGTTAAGAATTACCCTATATATATATATATATATATATATATATATATATATATATATATATATACATGTGTGTGTGTGTGTGTGTGAATTATATTCGCCTTTGTCGCCATTTTCGGAGAAAAAACATAACATTTTGCAGTATGTGAATTGGAATTGTGGAAACCAAATGATTAATAAAGAAACGGTTTTTATTTATTTATTTATTTATTTATTTTTTATATCATATTCGAATTGTTTACTTCCATTCATTGTTGCTACTCACGAATGTCGAATCGAGCTTAAATATGCGTTTCCGTAAGTCGGAGTTTTGAAGGTAAACAAACTAGAGTGGGGATCCTATCGTTCCAAATATGTTACGTTGTTTGTTGTTACATTTGATTTTGTAGTTTGTTGTTCGCATTCATATATTAATCATTTGTGTCTAAACACAACTATTAATTTTCGGAAAATCGAACGTGGGTTTGTACATAATATGGGGAACTATAAATCATGCTTTACTAGCTACTATTTTGTGCCGAATAATTATTTACATAATTACCAAAAAAGAATATAGAAGAGAGACGGTTTATTTATTCGTATAGTTCGTCTTGCTTTAGTAGCTTCTATATATATATATATATATATATATATATATATATATATATATATATATATATATATATATATATACACACACACACGAGAGTATCTATGTATGTTTATGTACTACAGTTCTCTATATGTATATGATTCTTTCTTGGTTAGGTTGATCGATTCTTGCTTGCTAAAGGTTTGAGTAGATGTAATATTAGAACTACTCTTATGTGTTCACAATGAATGGATGCTTCTAGAATCTAGATAAGTACAAATACACGCAAATTATGTTATTGCAACGGATACGAAACTAATGCTTAGAATGGTTGACTTGTGATGCTTTGAATTATCGAAAAACAATTGTTCGGAGAAAAAAAAAAAAGAATTCCGTTTGGACGAATTAACTTGGCACGATTATAGGGGTGGATATTAGCATTTTTTCGTTAAATAATTTAAATGCATTTTTTTTTCGTTTGTTGACTATGTGTATAAGCACTCGAATTGTGCAGGACCACCATTTTTCTTTATTGCAACACGAGACCGAAAAACTTAAAAGCGATATTGAGAAGATGCGTAGTGAGTTGAGGTCGGTTCATTAACTCTTGTTTTTTTTATATATATATTTTTCATTTTTTTTTCATGCACGAGTAACCAAAAAAATAAAAATAAAAAGCACGATCGTCTTGAATTCAGGTATGAAATCGATAAAGTCACAGCTGGTCAACGCTTGGATCTTAATCTCGAAAGGGGGTAACTAAGTTTATCCACATTATTCCCATCATTTTTTTCTTGGGTCGAATTTTATGTATTATTTAAATTAAAATATTGCCGCCCCTTGTGCAGGAGAATCCGGGACGAGCTAAACAATCAAAATCAAGAAACCAGTAACCTCACTAACAAACTCGATCGAGTAAGAATATTTAATTCTTTATATGTAGTTGCTGAAAATCAAATAATTTTTTTTCCTCGTCTGTATGTATATTATATATAATGTCGAATTATCAGGAAATTCATGCATTGAGGGCACAATTAGAAGCTGCTAAATACGACGTCATAAAGTATTGCATTGGTACACTCGCCTCCGTCTCCGCAGTCGGTCTTGCTGTGATTCGCATTCTCATGTAGCTTAAAATGCAATTCAGTCATTTTTTTTTTTTAATTTTAAGTTTTTTCGTTTAGAAGGATTTTAAACCGGTTTTAATGTTTAAAATCCTTGATTATTAAGAAAGATAGACTAACATTGTTAGGAATTTAAATATAACAATGTTATTCATTGATCTGATATTGTAAAATAGATTTGTAACATTTGTTTAAATTTTGTTACTCATGAATTTGGGAAGTGACAAAGTTCTATGTAATTTGACTTTTTTAATGTTTATATATTTTGTGCATTGATCCTTTATTTTGACAATAATTCTGTAATAGTTTAAGGACTTTGCATAAATACATAATTAAACAGGGGTAGGACTGCAATGGATAATTTTCAATTGGGGGCTGAGAACATGAGAGAGTGGGACTATAAATTTATGGAGTAGAGTGGTTATTCCAATTTGTTTAGGGGTATTTACAGAAAATGGTACAAAATAAATAAATGTTTATAGATTTAAATTAAAGGAGAAATTGGTTAAAAACTCTCTCAAAAATATTTTGTATAGTTAACATGCCGCATGCATATTTTGAATTTGTTAATAGTCCATCGGGGCCGTTTACTTGGACAAAGTAGACTGCAAATAGACAACTTATTTGTAGAGTTCAGACTGAAAATAGACAACTTAATTAGAGATTTTGGACTGAAAACAACCGTTTTTAGATGAAAGTAACATTTATCCGTTGTGGCAGAAATTAATTGTTCGGCGATATGGGACTGATAGGGAGAGGTGGAATCGTGAAAGAAATGTCATTTTGGAGTGGATGTTGTTTGGAAGATAATAAAATATTTCCAATGCAAAATGGCTATTCAAAACTCTCTAACTAAGCTGCCCAAAAGACTTTTAATGAAATGCAAAAATATAATTGTTCTGATTTGAAAGGGTATTAATGATCTGAGGTATTTATGGAATTGGACCTAAATTAAAATTAAGATGCATATACCGAAAATATGATTGCTATAATTTATTTATCGGTCGTTAAAAATTAGAGATTGGGCTATGTAGGTGGGTTGGGTTGGGTGAATGTACATGTTGGAGCTAAATACCTAACACGCAAGTGCACGTATCACAAACAAGTAGTAAAAGTTGACTCGTGAGAGTCGGATGTCGATCCCACAGGGAATACTCAAATTATCTAATCCTAAGTGCCAAATTCTGACAATTATGATTTGTATCCAGCCTACGCAAAGTTGTCAAATATAATCAACTAAATAATTAATCTAATTATGAAAGCAATTAAACACGAGAAAATATCAATAAAAACGGACCTAGGATTTTATCTTCCCCCTATGCAAGAATTGCTCACCCAAAACCCCTCAAACTCGTGAGAGTCGGATGTCGATCCCACATGGAATACTCAACTTATCTAATCCTAAATACCAAATTCTAACAATTATGATTTTTATCCAGCCTACGCAAAGTTGTCATATATAATCAACTAAATAATTAATCTAATTATAAAAGCAATTAAACACGAGAAAATATCAATAAAAACGGACCTAGGATTTTATCTTCCCCCTATGCAAGAATTGCTCACCCAAAACCCCTCAAGAATGAAATATATGAAACCTGATTATTAACCCGAGACACTAATTTACTCATAACCCGTTGTCGCGTGTATTATGAGTCTATTATTCATAAACGGTTCACTATATGTCTATGCAAACCAACTATGAATAAATCATTAACTAACAAGTCTCGTAAATGGCTACCTAACGTGATATATGTATGTCTACGACACCACATGCAATTGACACACTCATCCGGTGAAAACTACTCGAAGGGTCTTTTACTTACCGTCTAATTATCAAAATAGTTCTGTCGAGTCAATCCCAATAATCACAGATAAAGCACATATATTGATCAGGTTCATGAACTAACAATCATAACAAGTAGAAGAAATAATCATAGAATCATAATGGCATAATCTCAAGAAAACGGGTTCACCATCCCCACATAGGGTTCCAACAAAATCCTAGATTAAAAACTTAGCTACTCATGTTCTCTACGAAAAACATAATAAAAATATAAACAAACATAGATTAAGAAAAGATAGATGAAAGAAAAATTGTGATGAAGATTTGTCAATTCTCCGTCTTCGTTGTTTCTTCGTTCTTTTGTGTTCAAAAGTACTTTAATTTGTGCTCGGTTTGCCATTAAATAGATGTCCCAACTTGGTAGAAGATTTTAGGTTTCCTTGTGTGATTAAAACTCCAAAATTGTCTCGAGCGTGTTTTCACACGGCCTCGCGAGAATCAGTGCAATTCTCACACGGCTGCGCGAGAATCACCGAAACCTTCTGCCCTCATTCTGCAGTTGGCGCGGCCGCACCACAAATAGGCTAAATTTGGCACGGCCGCGCCGGCCAATTTTCAGCATATTTTTATTTTCTTCCGTTTTTGCCCCTTTTTGACCTTTTTTGGCTCGTTTCATCCTTGGAACTCCCAAATCGTCAAGTTATACCTAAAATACAATAAACCACTCATTAAGCATCATTAAATCAATAAAAGTATACAAAAATTCTCGTAAGAAAATATACATTGAGTGTAAAATATACACTCAACAGTACACTGTACAAACTTTTTTGGAAAGTGGATTTAAAAAAAATGGATATTAATTTGATGAATGGCAGAATAATGGGGATGATGTAATGTATTAAATAATAAATTTAATAATGATTTAGATTTTAAAAGAAAGATAATATATAATTAACTTTCTTTGCAAGTTGAACTAAAGAGGATGAATGTTCAAATTGCCAAATTTAGCACTCATTGTGACAGCTCCACAATTAAAATAAAAATAAAAATAATAAAAGAATTTGGGGACTTTTTCGACCCTACATCCGGTGGTAAATATTGAGTGGATCTTCTGCTGCTACGTGTCATTTTTTGTATTTTATAATATATTCTCCGCTAGGGTTTACTTTTAGAGGTTTTCGGAAAAAAAAAAAAAAAAAAAAACACGTAGCAGCAGAAGACCTAACCGGCGGATGTAGGGTCGAAGGAGCCGGGATGAAAAGGACAAGCACTGAATGGGCTGGTTGTAATTATTCGAACATAACATGTTTTTTTTTTATAATTTTAGCATACCTCAAGAGGTGAGCATAATTTTTGCCTATCATATAAATATTAAATAATTCATATAACTACTCTATTAAACGAAATGATCATTCAACACAAAAGTTATTTACATATTTCATAAGTTTGGTTTAATTACAAATGCATTTTCATGTTTCAAGCATTTCTTTTATTTTGGATACAAACTAAATTTAAAAAAAATAAAAAAGTTTGTTGATGCATTTTCATATGCATAAACCAAATTCACACAAAAACATTTATGCAAAAAGAAATTAAAAAAAAAAAGAAAAAGAAAAGAAGAAAATATGTAGTACGGAAACGGAAACGAAAACGAAAAGCCTCGACTTCATAATCACCGGCAACCTCAGTAAAGTGGGCAGAGCAGCCGTGGAGTCGGCACCGCCGTCAGCCTGGTGGCGCGTGGGGCAGTGAGTCCAAAAACATCATCCATATCCAGCTCGGCGGGCTTCATCCCGTCGGGCAGCTCCCACGTAAAGCAGTGGAGGAGATGAGCCACCGCCATCTCCAGCGCGTAGAGCCCGAGCTGCATGCCGGGGCAAGACCTCCGGCCCGACCCGAACGGGATGAACTCGAAGTTGCTCCCCTTGAAATCGGGGACGCCGTCCTTGAGGAACCGCTCCGGCTTGAACGAGTCGGCGTCCTCCCACGCGCTCTTGTCGCGCCCGATGGCCCACGCATTGATCATCACGCGCGATCTCGCCGGAACGTGGTACCCGGAGACGACGGCGTCCTCGGAGGTCTCGTGGAGGAGGAGCGGGATGGGCGGGTGGAGGCGGAGCACTTCCTTGAGGCAGCACCGGAGGTAGGTGAGTTTCTCAAAGTCGGACTCTTCGACTTTTCGGGCCGGGCCGACTACGGTCATGAGTTCTTGTTGGACCCGTTTTAGGTCTTGCGGGCTTCTCATTAGCTCTGCCATGGCCCACTCGATTGCGGAAGCCACTGTCTCGGTCCCACCGAACATTACATCCTGACGTCATCAAATTGCATCATCAATTTGAACTTGCGTTAAAAAAACAAATACTATAGGGTAAATTACGGAAAAATTCCCGAACTTTGGCTAAATAACGAAAAATCGCCCTCACTATCTGTAATAACCAAAACCTCCTCTGAATTAACTATTTTTTCGAGTTTTTTTAATATAAAATGTGTACAGTTTATTATATCTATGTTAAATAAGTAAGAAATAAAATAAAAATCTGAAATTGTTTAAAGTTTATACCCTGTAATAAAAAAAAAAATCGTGAAAAGTAACAGTATAAGGGGTTGGTATAAGACGTAAAGAAACCTCGGGGGATGTTTTATAATTACTGATAGGTGGAGGTGGTTTTTGTAATTTAATCTAAGTTTAGGGGAGTTTTCGTATTTTACCCATATTATGTCATGTTTTTTATGAAAGAGTATTGAAGTGGAAATGTGATGGATCAAGTAAGTTAGCACTTAAATAAAAGAAGGAAAACTTAAACTTAAATAAAAATAAAGATAAGTAATTTTGTGTTAATTACCATAATTATGGCTTTAATATTATCCCTCGTAAGCTTAATTGAGTTGTGCAAATCCTCAGCTTCAGAAACTTTGGTCTCATCATCACTATAAAAAGCCAACAACTCATCCACCATATCACTATCAACTTCGGGCCCATGATTATTTTCGGGCTTTTTTTTCTTGTGCATGTGTTCATCAATAATACTATCGATGAACCCATCGAGCGAGGCCCGCGCATTTACGAGCCTCTTGTTCAACCCTTGCGGGTCCATCCACCCGAGAAACGGGATGAAATCCGCGATATTAAACGCACCGAACAATTTCGAAAACTCCTGCAAGATCTCGATGAAGTTATCCTGTCCCTCGTGCGAGCTGGTCCCGAACGCGGCCCGGTATATGATATTCCTAGTCAGCCCGAACACCAGCTCGCCGACGTTGACCGGGCCCGCGGACCCCACAGCCACGGCCCGGATCATACCATCCACCTCGTCACGGACAGAGTCCCAGGACTCTGCCCGTTTACGGCTGAACAGCTTCACGACGCAGAGCTTGCGCATCTGGCGCCAGAAGGGCCCGTAGTGGGCGAACGCCATGTCAGCCCTATCGTACGTCAGGTAGCTGATGGCGATGTTCGCTGGCCGGTTGGAGAATATGCCGTCCTGGGCCTGGAGGACCTGACGGGCCTCGTCCGGGCTCGACACCGCCACTATGTGAAGGAACCCGATGCGGAGGTGGAATATCCCTCCGTACTTCTCGGCCAGACGGGCCAGGCCGCGGTGGGTTAGCTGGCCCGTCAGGCCCATATTGCCAATCACGGGCCAGCCACGTGGCCCGGGAGGATAGGGCTTGCGCCGGAATCTCGATAGAGCAATCAAGAAAAGCAAAGGGAAGATGAAGAGGATTAGCAAGGGTTTAGCCTCAAGAGCTTGGAGTAGGGTGGCCATTTTCTTTTCCATGATCATTTTTTTTTTCTTTTTTCAAGAAATAGTGTTACACAAATTCTTACAACATAAGGAAAAAAAAAGGTGCAACCAACTTTAATTTTGTTACTACATTTTGATTGGATTGATGAGGGATTTATATATATAAGTTGGTGGTAATGACAATAATAGGTTGGTCACAATTTCACACACTAAGTGGTGTATATCTCCAAGTTGGGGAAAAATAAGGTGGCAAGTGTTAATCTCATAAAATTCCAAGATTGGATTTTAATCAAAAGTAGATAGGGCCCCTAATTGAGTATGAAGAAGTTATATGTACTTCCACTAGTCATAATACAATATTGATTTTTATTCAAGATATATAATTTTTTTATTTAAAAAGGAAAAGATTAAAGTTGGATTGTATAATTTCTACTGTGGTGCAAATTTAGACCGGATGTCCTGTTTTAATAGGAAAATCGGATGTTATAGGATGATTGCCACGTGGATAGTTTAGATAAAAATATAATTAGGATTTTAATAATTGAAAAAAAAAACCAGCATAACCCGTAACCCTAATTATAATCAGCGTGATTTATTAAGAGTTAAAACTTAAAAGTCCCACATGTCAAAAAATTAGTGAAATCCGATTTAAATTAAATATCGGCTGATCCGCTCAGAATTTATTCTCTTTCTACTAAACTAGTTTAAGCAAATTAATTCACTCTTAAATGAAGATTTATAGATATTAAATTTTAATTACTTTTATGAATGTTTGAAAAGCAATTAAGAAATACGAATAAGTTTCAACATATAATACGAATTAAAAATTAATATTAAACCCTATAGATAAATATGCCTTTTTCCCATAGCTGAAAATGATGAAAAATAATGACAGATTATGACCGTTGAGCCATCGATAAATTCAGCTTACCTTCGAGAATATGGCTGTTTTTACTTTTTCCACACCAACGAATATATAAATTAGTAATATCACTTGAACCCCTGTGGTTTGAACTTTGTGCACATGACTCCTTTATACTTTTAAAATAGTACATGACCCCCCTTATATTTTAATATAGGCACAAAGTTTAAACAGTAGGGGTCATTCACTTATATTAAAAGTACAAGGGGTCTTGTACACAAAATTTGAACTACAAGTGGTTAAGTGATATTTATCCTATTTAAAAAAAAAAAAAAAAAAGTTTTATTTAGATAATTAATGTTGCTTGCAATTGCATTATTAACGTGTCAATAAAACAAATAATTAAAAATAATAATGGAGAAAAAGTAGGTGTCAAAATTTTCAAATTAATTATGATTAATTTTTGTTATTATAAGCTTTTCATCTCATTAAAATCACTAAATCACTATCAAATATCAATCACTACCAAAACCAGGAGATGTGAAAATAAAAATACAAGCGGACAAATTAAAATTAATACATGACATATAAACTTAGATAAAGATCCCAAAATTATACGAAAATAAATATTCATTTTTTCATATATATATATATATAACAAAATAAATATAAAAAAGGATATTTTATGTATAAAAATTAATAAAGATCCCTTTTTTTTATGTTTTTCCATAGATGCCCCTACAACCGAGAGTTGGTCATGATCGAGTTGTTCAATTTTTACCCTCTGGGTGTGGATGTTTTAATTTCAACTACAGCTAAACATCTATAAATTAATGGGCACCGGTCTGTATCTACTATAATGATATATTTTTTAATACGTTGTTCTCAAGTTAGAACCATGAAAAAATATTATTTAAACGAGTTTATTAATTTATCGAGGTTCCACTGTATGTTATATTATGAGTCGCTGTCACTTCAATTGGCTACAAAACGTACATTGAAAAACCAAATAAATTTTTGATATGGTAGTTGCATGCATATTTTAAGAGGTTATTAAGTTCTACAAAACTCCAAATTCTTGATGCTGATTGTGTAACTGATTTTATATTACAAAATAAACAAATAAATCACACGAGAAAAAATGTAATTATATTTTAAGTTATTGATATAATAAATAAATAATAAGATAAAAGTATGTAAAATATATAGCTAGTTGATAGTCGAATCCTTACATTAGTGGCTTCTTAGTTCATAATATTGTCACAGTGACATCAGAAACAAGAATGAATATCAATCTATATATAATATAAAAAGAGAATCTATGCCCTCAATGATTGACATGTGGCAAATGATGATGTCATTTATCAAAATTGCTTAGTTGGAGTTCAATTGATGAGGTGGATTCTTCAATTGGTGAGTTGTCAATTTTATTTTGGTATGTATTTAAGTTCTTTCATATTTAACATTTGTACACTCATTTAAACAATTACCACATGTATATATATTATTTCCAAATTTAATATTATATAAATTCGAAATAAAAATATATTATTTATATTTTTAGTATTTCAAAATATATTTATAGAAAAAATTCAGGATAATTTTTTTTTGCACGAATATTCAAATAATTTTCAGAATTTTTTTTTTTAATATTAAAATATTAAAATAAAGGAATACGGTTTTCTTTTCTTTCTTTTTTTTTTCAATATTTTGAAATATTCAAATATCCATTCAATTAAAAATAATTATAAAAAAGAGTTTTATTTTTTAATTGTCCTATTTAATAAATAATTATTTAGTTGTGCTTATTAAATGATTAGTTATTTGCTATATAAGTAATGTTTTAAGTTTATTTTAATTTAAATTTCCACATGCAAACCTATATATACAAATATACATTTATTTGTTATTATTGAATTGATATTTAGTAAATATAATATTTTATTTTATTTTCTAAAATATCACTCCAAATTTAAATCAATTAAGCGGGTGTGTATTAAATTTGTCAATCATTTCCATAGTATATTTGTCCATATTTATAGATTATTAGTTTATTACCAATCCTACATAACACGTGTAGGCACGTAGCAAGGTGAAAAGTTATTCCATATTTTTAATTGATTGTTTCGATATAGTTCTTATATTTACACACTCATAGTTAATACTTATTTGAAGGATTTTTTAATTCTTTTACTTTTACTCAAAATTCTATTTCCTGCAACTTTTATTTTAAATTTACTGGATTCTTAATTATTTTCCAAAAAAATAAAATTTTACCCAAATTTGTCAAATTAAAATATTTAATTTTGGAAACCGAATGATTTCTTCCGAATTATCCTTCACTTTTAAACATATTCAAATTCATAAATGTGTCCCTTTATATTGTCATTAATGTTTTTAATATTATTACCATATTGAATTTATTTTCTTTTTTTTTCATCATCTAACCACAAGTATATAAACCCCTTCATCATCACTTCATTTCTCCACTAACTTTCACCGGAACAAAACGTACGCATGTATTCTTCGAATGTATTTTTTTTTCATTTTTGTATATTTCTTTTCATTTATTGTTAATAAATTTTATTTTTCCCGTCTTGAAAACGGTAAAGCCTGTACTACTGTTGTTTTCTAATGATCATATTCATTTTTAACTGAATTTTGTGTAATAATTGCATAGAATTAATATTTCGAATTTTATGTTTTTTTTAATCTTTGTTATCATCTTTATTATTGTTCTACTATTCCGATTTTATCATACCTTCTTTCTCAGTCAATTATTGTTGTTTGTAGCAATAAATTTCTTATTGGATATTAAAATTGTATGGAGATCATGGTTTATGTTCTTCTCATTATTAGTCAATTTTATTATTGTTATTTTATGTTATAGTATGTCGTGTATTTAAATATGTAATTTTAATAATTGTTTTATTTTTAATCAAATTATTTATTATTCTGATTTTTTAGTATTTTATTTGATTTGTAATATAGATTGTTATATTGATATTTTTTAATATAATTTTAAATTACAAAATAAATTTATTTTCTAACATTTTAATTTTCATTATTAATTATGTATGTCACTTTTATATTAATTTTGCATTTCATAATCCGAAATAATAATTACACTACATTTGAATTTTGAAATTATGAATTTTTGATTTCAAATTCTAAAGTTTCAAATTTCAAAATGTTCTTTACCGTATA